ATCCGTTGCTTCACTACCGAAAAGCTTTCCTGTACCTCTGCCAACTTTGGCGTAAACTGAACCAAACGACTTTATACCAGGATACTTGAAATGAAACCACCATTTGACTACCCTGGCAGAAGCGGAGCCATTTGTTGCTTGTAGGGAATCGCGGTCCATCTACGACAACCAACACCTTCTCCGATTCCCCTTCATGCTGCTACCATCAAGCACAATCCAATAACTTGTACCTATGATACATAGAATCTGAAAAGCGCCGCTATGTCGCTCCATTTATTGACAGTGCCGTACGAGGAACAATGAACAATGAACAATGATTTATAACGGGTAAAATAGCATTTGCTTAACAGGTCCCGTAGGGTGCTTGGAACACTAGATAAAATGGAAGGATAATCGAACAAGTAAATCGTTTTTTAAGCCTCTACAGATTTCAACGCACCACTTCATAATGATAGTTTGAAGTATGAACTGGATGTCTACACCCAAAATAGAGCTGTTACATTACAGCAAATGTGGGAAAAAGAAATCAAAGGAACGGATAACGCTCACTCGTGTGTTGCTTCCCTTGAGAGATGTGGTACGTTACTCCAGTTTGTATACATCCATGTCGCTCATTGGGACACTTCTGTATGTAACATCACCGCCACTTTGCGGGGAGGGTCAGTAACCTCATGGTTTGGGTCTCGTTATTTCGTCCTCCGAATACGACGTGCTATGCCAAATAATGCAAGTTGGAAAGTGTGTCATCTAGGCGTTTTTTAAAAAGTGCCAATGTGGGGGCAAGGACGACTTGAGTGGGGAGCGCATTCCAAGCACGGGACACACGGAGTGAGAAAGAGTTTCGTCGACAATCAAGTCGGCTGTAGTGTGTAGCCAGTTTCAGCTGATGACCTCTCAGGTTGGTATTTTGGCTCAGCTGCAAGAGACTGCGACATGGGTGATTCGGATTCATCAGTATTAAGTAGACCATGATGAGGTCTCCTCGGTGACGACGATATTCACCACTGTACAATCCCATAGACTGCAGTCTGCGTTGGTACGGGATGTGAAACAGGCCTCTGACGAGCTTCGTTGCTCTACGTCATGGAGCTTCAAGTGCACTGATGTCGCGCTTGCGCCAGGGACGCCAAGCCTGGATCGCATACTCCACGTGGGGTCTCACGTAAGCGCTCAGCATTTGCGGAAATACAGACGGCTCGAAATTGCCGAAAGCCCTCCGTAAGAGTCCGAGATGTTGACTGGCCCTTTTCGATGCCTTTTCAGCTTGTCTGGAGCAGCCAAGGTCGTCCTGCACGATCACTCCGAGGTCGCATTCCTGGGAAGCATGTTGCAACGGATGGTCCCCGAGCAAGTATTCATGGATGAGCTGGTGGCGTAAGCTCACGACTTTGCACTTAACGACATTGAAGTGGAGCATGTTTTCGGATGACCAAGTGTAGGTCCTGTCCAGATCGCTCTGCAGTGTTGCGTGATCGTCCTCTGTCCCGATGTCATGCCAAATTTTGACATCATCTGCAGACAGCAAGAAGTTCGACTGTAGTACACTGGCAAGGTCGTTAATGAATGTTAAAAATAAACGTGGCCCCAGTACTGACCCTTGTGGCACACCGCACTGGACGTCAATTGGGTCGGACGTGGAGCTGCGGACTCTCACCTTCAACTGACGTTGAGTGAGAAAGTTGGCGATCTAACCAAGCACTGGGTCACCGATTCCGTAGCCTCGAAGCTTGCGTAGGAGGACGCGGTGGTCCAAACGATCGAACGCCTTCGAGAAGTCCAGGTAGACAACGTCGACTCCAAATCTAGCATCAGCTGACTCCGTCCAGCTTGCTCGGGCCAGCAGCAAGTTTGTAGTGCAGGATCGATTTCGGCGGAATCCGTGTTGCTGTGGCACTATGATATTGTTGTTCTCCAGATATCCCATCAGCGCCAACGCAATTATACGTTCCATTACTTTGGATAAAACTGGGAGGAGAGTGATTGGACGGTAGTTCGACGGCTCCGCACGATTACCGCTTTTGTAAATGGGAGTGACTAGCCCATGTTTCCACATTGTGGGAATCAGCATTTCGTCAAGACAACGTTGAAAGAACCGAGCTAATGGTTCGGCAATGTTTAGGGCCGCTGCCTTCAACGCCTTCGGTTTAATATCATCTACGCCTGGCGAGCTGTGCACACGCAACGACATTAGCGTTTTCAACAAATTGGTTGCCTTGAACGATACGTTGTGTAAACCTGGGAACGGTGAGAGCTCTGTCAAAATCGGGTGAAGAGATGGTTCACTCCGGAAAGTATGGAGGAAGTGTTGCCGAAACACGTTGGCCGCGGCCTGTGCAGTTTGCGCATGACCATCTGTTGCACGCAAGACCGGGATCCCGCGCTGCACTCTACGGAGTTTGTTGATATGTCTATACAACAGCTTTGGATTTTTGCTGAATTTCGCCGCTAAGTTCCGTTGGTGCTGGAGTTTGTCTTCGCGAATCAACTTGACGCAGTGGTTTTGTTGAGTTGTGTAGACTCCCCAGGTCCGATTACTTGGGCAAACTTTGTAAGCGCGCCAGGCCGAATCCCTTAAGGCCATAGATTTTCTCGTGCGGCTTCTTAGGAACGAATCCGCTTGCTTCGGGCGAAAGGCCTTGCGTTCTGATGCATTTGCTACTAGCTCAGTGAATTTGGTGACAAACACCATCCAAGCCTCATCGGGCGGATTCTCGGTCAGGAAGGACCAGTTGGTGTCTTGAACAAGGTTAGACAAGATGTCGTAATGTGTAACCATATAAGTTTCCTCGTCGTTCTCTCTAACGTACTCCGAATAACAGATGTAACGAAAGTACAACGTCGCGTGATCACTACGACCTAGTGGTGTAGCTATGGTAACGGTGTCAATCATTAGTTCCTCGTTGGTGAGCACAAGGTCCAAGACAGAGGGGGTGTCACTCGTTCTGAAACAAGTGGGGGAGGTGACATGGTTATACAGTGGTACATCGGTAACCAGTTCTTGCAAATCAGCCTTGAACTGTTCGCTGGGCGATGCTGGAACTTCGAGTGCGTGCAGATTGAAGTCCCAATCACACAACTAGTGAGTTGTCAGTCAAATTCCTGACAGAACATTTATCAGAATCACACACTTCAGGTACTGGCATCGTCAAACTTAACAGTTTTGCATAGTATAGTCGTACAATAGTGATCAGCTAACTGGCGAAACGCAGGCTAAATAAAAGCCCATACATTCACATGTCAGTCTATTCACGTGATATGCCATTGAGTATCGCCGCTGCCTTAGTGGCAGATGACAAATTCTTGTCATGTCGCTTTGTGCAGTTATCCTCAAGCAAAAGTAATTTATCGAATAATGTAACGTTTCTGGGTTTACACAATGGCATCGCATGAAGTAATTAGTTCAGCCTCCAGTCATGATAAGAACAATAGCTGACATTTTGTGACCCTTGTACCAATTATTGGTATAATTACGGTAACGTAGCCGTGGGCTACAACCTAAAATTGCATCCCCATATCGGCTACATGAACTGGCTGCTAGCGTTTGCGGTGAGCAAATTCACAGCTACTGCGATTTCTAGATAAATGAAAATGGGATATTATTTGTCAACTACCCAAATGTGTTACGAAAGTCTGCCGTCTAACTGCACATAAGCTGCATTTCAGCGAATTTGCTACACTTACCTCTACCGTTGTCCACTCTGTTTAGGTAGTCGCTGCTACCAAGTTTGTCTGTAGCAGCCATTCCTAAGCTAAATGCTATCGTATACCAGTGAAGATTTTAGTCGTGTTGTGTAGGAAGACAGTGAGATAACATTACACCCTATAAAAAGCTTTAAAATAAGTTTGTTAGCGAACTATGAACAGTGAGGTCAGTATAAGAAAAATTTATGGTCACGAAAATGTTTTGGGACGGACATTTATTGGAGAGCTCAAAGTCAAACTTAAGGATGTCAAAAAACGTTTATTTTTTCAAAATCGAATACCTTAGTTGTGTGTCAAATTCTGGATAATTTAAACATAATTAATTACTTTTCAGTTGCCCTGTTTGGTTGCTAATATCCTCAGGACGAACACAAGATGTTGAATCGGATAATCTGCAGTGGTCAGTCACATTAATAAAACAAAAGATATCAGGTTTTAGCAACCATCTCGTTTATCTTCATGTTTAAATTTATTTCACCACCAATTATTAAACATTACACATATGACAAGAACACTAATTCCTATTCTTAGTGTTGTCTTCATCCCGGATGACTAAAAATGGAACCTATGCCAATGACAATAGACTCAGATAGGTTTGTAACCCGTAAATTAACAAACAGACCAAATCTGTTACTCCTGCTGTTTGAAAATTGCTGAGCAGAGGTGCAAGTAGCGGTTTGTGTCCAGAGCACTCCTGTACAGATTGGCTCGACATTGAGTTTATCGCCATGGATATGAATGGACATACGTCGTATGCCAGCTGTTTGCTACGTCGTCCTCCGTCAGGGTTAGTTGATAGTGGGTCCGGAGCGTCCGCATTAGCGAACTCAGAAATGTGCAGCTCACAAGGTGGTTGAGTGGAGCGCTTACACCAAATTCATAATTCGGTTTCATATTATTCGACCGCATCAGTGGCATCAGGTGTCTCAAATATTTAGTAGGCAATAGGCACATTTTAATCCGAGGATGTCAGCGCAATTGCACTTATACCTCGTAACGTCCACTGGAGGCTAACCAAATAAACATGATAATGCACCAAACTGATAAAAAAAGCCAATATGTTCAGTTGCCGTGATATTCGCCGAGCTGGGCAATCAAGTTTTCCATTTCGACGAACCCCACAGCAACGCAGTAAGTCTACCGAACTACCAGTATTCCAAGCAATTTCAACACGAATGCAGCGAGAAACCCAGTTTGAGGTACGTAAATCCTTAGGTCATTTAAATATTATATCAAATGCACTCCGTACGTGAAAGTTGGATAATAGTTCACATTGATAGAACTCGCATTGTTGGTTTTTAACTCACGTCCAGGTATTCTTCTGGGACTCGAGCTGTGTAGCAGTATGTGTCACGTTGGCATCCGTAGGTACAGTATTCGCGGTAGACACCATCGGGAGATTTGAATCGTACAGATCGTTCAGACACACAACTTCTAAGCAGAAGACGGATAATAAATAAAAAGGTAATGGACCAGGCTAGAGCATTTCAATAACAAGCGCGTGAACCCCATGCATAGCTTTAGCAATGCAGTAATATTTCTTTCGGAACAGTTAGTGAAAGCAAAGCAAAATTCTCACCTATAATTACTTGAGATGCCTCATTGTCAAGCAAGGTGGCTAAGCCAATTTCCGTTATCCGTTGTTAGGGATACTACGTAATGGGCAGTAACATAAGATGGGTTGCGCACGTTTGAAATTCCTAATGGCACCGTGTACAGAAACTTCGGTGGCTACCTCCGGAACCCTCTGTGTCTATCTCAACGTTCCCTGCTGGCTCCCGTGTGGTACAACTTGCACACTCAGGGAAGTCGCCGTTCCCGCTCAGACCAAATCTGCATGGGTTTCATATCCCACACTTCCTTAAATTTCTCCGGAAAAAGGATTTATTGTGTTCGTATTACGCCAGAGGTTTTTGCTGACTGCTGTTTTGGAGAGAAATATAAGCAATATGGTAATATTAGTTGAAGATAGTTCTGACTTGGCAAGGAACAGGGCTCAGTAACGTTTACGTTTTGCGTTAGTTTGTCTGTCCCCATTTAATTCAGTGTCCCTTTACAACCAGAATCTCCTTTTCGAGGCATCAACATAAAAAGCATTATGTTTTCGGAAGCTGTCATGTGTGATGAAAGTGTCATACGAGAGGGAACGGGTGGACAAACCGGGCGAGTCAGACAACCAATGAGAGGTGGACGTAACGGATTGGATTACCGGACACGGAGTGACGGACATGTGTGTGGGTTACCGTTTGTTTACCTGAGTCAAAGAAGGAATCTTATCGACCCAGAATGGTCGTTAGTTTTGGGCCTAAACTGCAACTTATATCGGAGTGTATGATTTTTTAAACTTGCTGCAATTTCCGTTGAGCTGATGTTACCGAATATACGGTTGCCCCTGAAGGACATCACGTTGTTTGTATTATTCGTGTTTTACTACGTTATTTTTCGGTTACTTTACTGCGTTGTACTACGGTACAATACCTGACGTATTTCCTATCGCTAGTCAGCGTTAGAATGCTGGTGAAAAAATATAGCAACACATCTGTTCTGACAACTGCCACGCGCTATACGCAGTGCTATGCATTCTTACCGCACTAATTTCAGTCAGACAAGAAACCTCTGCGATTCAAGAAACTAATTTAACACTGTTCAACGCGGATTTCAAGTACAAAAGACCCTGAGTACAACCTACGAAGTATACAAGCATTGTCAAAATCAGCGTACACGTGAGTTTCATCGGCCTGCTACAACGCTGTTTGCCGAATTAAAACCGCGTTACAATTTGATATAAAAACAAACGTCTTCGAATTCTCCGAAGCTCTATCAGCTAACCAGTAGTCGTACAACAGCCGAACATACCCCAAGTGTTACTTTCAACTATTTTCGTCTTGAGGTACCCATCAAAGTTGGTGCTCCTTCAGCCTCTAGGACACCATGGGAAAAGACACCTCCCAGTGGTATATAGACTGGGTGACTGTGCTTGTAGTTGATTTTTCTTCATGCCGTGGTAGTAAGGATCAAAGAAATCCGTGAGATAAGACTAAAAGCTATTCCTCTTGAAGCGCAGCGGTCACCGAGAGCTTGCAACGAAAGCGTAAGGTCTTGGTTTGCATTACCTGATAGTAAGTACGCCATATATTCAACTAGGTATGGCCGAAATACTTTGGATCTACTGAAAAGTTTTGCGTGCATTAGAAAATGATAATGATTTGTGTACCAAGTAACAGAGTTTAAAGCATTCTACATATTCAACCTGATGGTGAAAACTTGTAAGAAGAAGGGTCGGATCATGTATGATACTGGATAATATCGACTTGAAATTTGTTACGAGTGCACCAGTGTAATATTGATCATAAGGTCTGTGGTGTTACAACTGCCTCATATGCTACTATCTAACGCAATCTCTTGACGAAATTTTACTCCATTCAAGCTTAATTCCTGATAACTCTCTTCTGATGTAAAATCGAGAGCAAAACTTATTTCCTAGTATGGCAAGTGGAACTATATGGAGAAAGCTCCTCTCAAATTGACTAATGCGTAATATTTGTTCCGCGATTCTCTTCGCTACATTTATTCTGTACTAACAACCATTTCAACTTTTCCCGGAGTTAACAGTTTAGATACACGTACCGAATTTCGGTGATTGGCGATATCAGATTCCCAGTTGTACGAATATATGCTGTCAATAATAACCCTACAAATGTGTTTTAGTACATTCCTGCATATGCATAATTCAGGCAGTTATCTGCCTTCGGCTGTCACGCCGCACAATGCTCTCCTATGATCTGTCGATCCTTTATGCGCTGTCGGAACGCATGCTGTTCGCTTATTTTTGGTATTACCGTCATTGCACTTATTATATTTAATTTTTCTTATTCTACATTCTTCCTTATTTTAATGTTGGCTACTACTGGGCTGATCTGCTGAGGTGACGTATTGACGCTTCCAAACTTACAATATCTACCCATACCACCGAGTGACTGGTGTCCAAACTAGATGCCATAATTGAATGACCCACATGGAGAAAGGAACTGAGGCTTTATTGGCCATAATCTATGCATAAAATCAACCCCAAAAGGAACATGACATCTGTTAGATAGGTGATGGCTTATTTGATAATTTGCCACGCCGGAAAATATCCAGGGAGGACATGGTATACTCTGCATGGAACCATGTCCCCAGGGGATGGTTCCATGGCTGAGGGTATTACTTTACTTGAATATACGTTTACATCTGCATACTGTTGTTCCCAGCTTCTCAATTTCTTCTATACCTTCAGCCTGTCAATTACTTTAATTCATTGGATTCATTGTATTGGATTCATTGGATTCATTGTATAAGGATTCATTGTATAAGGCGTGAACAAGTGTTTACGTTGTGCGATGTTTCGGTACACATCCAGCAGACCACCTTGTTGGACGGTGTCTCGCACCACCGAGGAATATACCATGCATTTATTTATTTATAATTAAACAGTGTGCCGGTGCCTTTTAGACAGAGCACAACTGCAAAATAAACCATTATGATCACTAACGCACGGAGAAGAGTTGTAACTAATGTCACCCAAGAAATCGAGTGACATGGTCGCCGAGATTTCGCAACGCTAATGTGAAGTCTTGGTTCCCGTTGCTTCATAGTTCGCACGCCATATCTTTAGGTATGGTTCAAGGAGGCTCTGGTAAAGTCTAGACGGAGCACAGCTGCAAAATAAACAAGCATGAGCACCGGCACCTAGAGGAGGGTCGTAAGCAATGTCACCCACAAAATCAAATGACTTGGCAAAAGCAAGGTCCAATATAGACGGCACTTTGGCCTCAGTGAACTTAGCAAGAAAGTCCACAGGCTGATGCAACGGTAGTTGCAGCGTGAGCTGAAGAAAATGTGCACCGAACTACCTAACTATGAGTTGCAGAGGAGATAGACCCTGTGAATCTTCCGGCGTTAAAGTCACATCACACCAGAAACCTGTTTGCAGTCTGGGAGCTAGTACAATCACTGTATACAATATCAGGGCTTCTAAAAAACAACAGCAACTTAAAATATAACCGAGGAATTGTTAAGCACAGTCTACGGAGCCACGACAGTTTTGGCCACAGAATAAAATAAGCTGATCTTCAACTCATCAAAAGTTTACAGCTTAAGTAAAGAAAGTCGCTTGGTGTTTGACTATCAAAGGAAAGACCAGACATAAACAGTGCAAAGTCAGCTAGATGTACTTCACGGTCAGTGAAATCCTGGGGTAAGTACCTTACAATGAATGCAAGCATGTCGGAACGATGCACCTCCACACGTAGATCTAACTAGTACTTCTTAATGCTGAGGCTACGCGCGTTGGTAAACATCATCTGAAGGAATTCGGTGTGACCAGTCCTAAAGCATGGACTACCAGAACTGGCCACGCCAGGACGGAAAATGGATTTTTGACTGACCACCTTAATACTGGCCAACCGGGGAAGGTGTTTTACGATCGCCCGTCTGATCTTAAGTTCCTTTCAGCCTATCAGTTAGCGGACGATTTGGTTTCCACTAACAATATTACCAACGCGTTTATATGCAAACCGTAATGGCGATTGCTATCCTCCGGGGTAGTGAAGCCACGCAGGGTAGGCGAGGTCAAGGATGTGGCTCCAACTGACATGGTTTCCCGTCTAGTTAGCTTCCTAAGAGTAAGACCGTAAGGACTCGGGGAGATGCGCGGGAACGATAGTTGTGGGTTATGGAATATAATGCTAGTACCTATGAAAAAATCACTAATACCGCGCGTGTTTAACTAGTGTTTTACTATTATGTGCTAACTACATTTAGCTTAACCGTTGGTGGTAACACTGTTTGATTCTTCTCAGAGAATGATCAGCACTTGTGGCTTAGGACTTTTGTATTTTTGTTCGTCGCAATCAGCTCTAGTTGTAGAGCCTCATCATTTTTACACATTTTAGCTTGACATATACGTTAAGTTCCGGTTCTCTTTCTCATATGATTAACAGGCGCGGGGTCCATGTCTCATCCTGAGATGAATGGGAATCGGATAGGCTTTTAATAACCTCCACCCTCCCTGTCAGGTGCTAGGGTCGACACTTCAGACTGACAAGCTTTGGTGCGTAGGAGAGCTGTTATTTCAACAAAATCCCTAGTCGACTTAACGAATGACGACGGCGTTTCCCATTAATTGTTCCGTACTCGGGTATGGCAGAAGTCTTCTGCAATTGCCTTGCCCCCTTGTTTCAGTCAAAGCGGGGTCATAAGCCAGCAACTCAACATCGCTCATATTGGAGTCAAATGCGATACGAGTAACAGCTACATCAGGAGGATGTGCTCCAACCAGGGCACTTGACAAGATGTTCGGTGTTACAGCTGAGTTACCAGGGATGTTGGGTTTATCTCTATCCCTCAGAGCCCATTTATCTTGCGATCAAAAAGGATGGCCGCTGTGACTGCGTGCTCCATTCCTTAAAACTTAATATCACCGAAGCGTTGTCACTGTCAAGAAGAGTTGGCCAGGTTTTCGGGTAATCACCAGAAGGGATAACCCCAAATTAAGCCTTCGCCTATAGCAAACAATGTGTACTGATTTGCATTTAGGCAGATACAGACCGGCTTTTACCAAAAGTTGCAAACATCACACCGCTTACCGCTAACCTTGTCTGTCACCGGGACAACATATCTAACCCTGCCACAAACCCGCCTCGTGCGTAAGGAAACCTAGGACTACTTTAGTGTCAGTATTCTTCGTAGTAGATATAACACTAACTTGGAAAACGGTGATTAAAAGGCAATGCCTCGCGTAAACCAAGCAACAGTTGCTTACAAGGAAAACAATAAGCAGGTGCAAATTGGGTGCAACACGGATTAATAACACGAAACACGGGAAACGCGCCAAGGGCTGAAAAAGAACCTCAAAACAAAAACTTTATGAGGGTGCCCTACCTAGGGTGCCATTTCGTTCAAATAAACAACTATCTGCTTTTTGTCGGATCAGGGAAATTTGACAGAAGCGAATTTTCTAGAAAATATATTTGCGATGTAGCTTCCAATTAATGTAGTCTGAAGGAGACGTCATGTCAAATATGTAGGTTACTGCCAATGGTCACATGTAATCACAAAACCAAATTTTCTCGATTCGGTCCAGTATCAAGTTAGTGACGGTTCATCATATGTAGAAGTGCTTGGTATGGAAGATAATAATATTATATGCGTTTGACCCATTTAAGTATCGCGCACGTAAAGTTCCAAACAAACAGGACAACTTAAGGTCGAATAAAGCATCTGACAGCTGTTTGATTACAGCCTTGCAAGTGCGCTTCTCATGGGACGTTATACCACCAGCTTACTAACTTTGCTCCTTATGCTGCAAGTACGCCCGCACCGAAACAGTTAGCTCACCTGTTTCGTTGAAAAAAGAATTAAATTGCACCCACTTGTTCTTGTGAGATTGGAAATAGTAAGAGTTGCGGAACTACTGATGGCCACCAAAAAGGAATAGGTTTGGTAGATTCCTGGCGACTGGATGAATGTTCACCTATGTTAGGGGGAGAAACGAACCAGCGGTCCGGCTTGATACAGTGATGTTGAGCCTACTTGGGAATGGAAGGCTCTTGTTGTCGTAGCTATTAAGACGGAGCTTCGAAGTTGGCGTTATGTTCCGCATGTTGTTGAACTGATGATCTGGAGTTTCTCCATGGTGGACATAAGACCGAAACAGACTAAGTTGGTTTGTATATTTATCTGACCAAGGTGGATGTCGAGTACCGGAAACCGGAGCGCACAATGAATTCTCAGTGTACCTAAGGCTTCTTTCTCGGAAATTGCGCATGCAAGATAACTGATGTTCCTGTACTCTTTGTGCGGATAAGACGCAGATTCTTCAGGTATCTTTTACCTTGAGGTACTTAAGCCTTCACCTAGATTGGCCACTGTTCAGGATATGTTTCGCGGACCCGTTTTGACATTTGCTGATTGTTGATGACAAGGATGTTGACTTGACTCTAGCAGGGGATGTCAAACGGCTAGGTTTAAGCAAGATGGGCTTTTGGATGTGCGATCAATTTCTGCTGGGGCGATAATTGTTGAGACAAACTAGGGCTTTACTGCGCATTATGATGTAGGAAGAAGACGTACCCACTTTCAACGAATGTGGTGCGTAATATTTTGACAGGGTGCCAGTCGGACAGGGCTTCAGGTCCGTTGGTTACACCGGTATCATGTACATAATGACAGCCAGTTAAGATGTACACCACATTTCTGTGCCATCCGGTAGTCGGCTAATCCGCGGTGCGACAGTCGTAACGTCAGGTGTCTGGGGTTGTTGGCTGCTAGTTGGCTGCTAGTTGGTTGCTCGAGGTGTTGACTCTTTGACACCTGAAGCACCGTCTGAACCACCATTGTATTCTTCACCAGCCCCTTGTTTTAGGTGCAGGTGGATGGAACTATGCAAGCTCGGTGTAAATAACAGACCATTTCACATCATCCAGCCATCCTCTCATGCAAGCAAAGGTAGGATCCAAAGCTTTGTATGAAGAGCACTAAACGTTACTTTCACTTTAAGCAAGTAGTACTGTTTTCGTAAGGGATGCCCAAACAAATGAATTGCAGCTTCAATACCACTATTATGAAAAGCCTGGGAGATCCGAAGATTAAGTCGAGTGTCAGAATATTCACTATTTTTGGAGGACTGTTTGGTGGAGGGACAGAGGTAATTTAAAATATTGTAAACTACACGACCACGAACTTGTTAAGCAAAATATCTTAAACAAAAATACTTTGTGAACTAATGTCTTCAGCTTCTCGGCCTCTAGATACATGCCACAAATTTTTGCTTATTTTTTAGCCTATAACTGATTTTCAGGCCTTTATTATTTGGCAAAGGTGTTACCTTATGGCATAAATTATTCTTGTAAATTCCCTACCTATCTGGCAAAACGTTGCGTGGACTGTTGTAGTTTGGTTTAGCTATCCATAGCGGAAGCATTTAGTTGATAGTTTGACAAGTCACGTAAGTTCATACAGCAGAATGTACTTCGTTCCAGAGTAAATTGCGATCAAAAAGGATATACCGCTTCCGAAATTTGTGCACACGACGGGTAACTGGAAACATACTGAATAACCTGCTCCTGATTGTTGCAATTTTTTGTGCATACACCATTCAGTGAACGCATCTACCTTTTTCAATCGAGCCATGATTTTAAATGCACGAGGCTGATCAACTGATAATTGGTGTCGGTTAATTTGCAATAGTAATCAGCTTCGTATGAAGTTACTCTCATGTACTTGAAGCTTGCTGTTATTTCTGAATTTATTTCTTTGAGGTAGGAAAATGTGATGTTTTATGTACCGACATCAGAGGAAAATACAGTTAGCATTGTTGCGGAAATCACCATGGCGGTTGGAATCAAACTGTCACCTGCAGAGGACCGAATGACGGATATCGGTCGTAGCGCATACATTGCTAACCTGGCAGTCATGACAATAAATGGCGACACATGTTATAACGAACTTACCGGGAGAAAAGTAGATTGGAAACCTGAGGATTTTTGGCTGCCAGCGTATCGGTCCAGAATTTGATTGCAGGAAGCAGAAGTTTCTCCTAATTAATAAACACCAAAAATGCATCGACTTTAACACTCATAGACGTTCCACAGGTGAGTAGCTTCTCACAGCCGAGTAAACTTACCGTTATTGCTGGAAAGTTGGGCAATGATTTGAGTGCATGGGTGTAATGTACTGCGATCCGCAGGTTACGTGTTCCTGACTCTACCTGTTTGGCAGCATGAAACCTTGGTGCGAAGTGGTATGTCTGAATGGTTAGAGGATAAAAGATAAGGAACACTTACCAAATTATGACCAGTTGGGGTCCAGCACGGGAGCTCATGCGCCGTAAGTTGACCGGTGCTCCACATGACACAGAGAACTATGATCCAAGCAGTTGAGCCCAAGTTCCATTGACGCCGACATGTCCAACACTGAGTGTTCACTGCACCAATGTTACTGAGACCAAGCCCGTTCTGCCCCGACAGGAACAAAATTCCACTCGTTGACATCCTATTCTCACCAAAAGTTTTCCAAAAATCTTAACCTAATATAAACTAAAAAAGGACCGCGAAATGGATTAGTCGCAATTGAACAAATTCTAGATACTGAAAAAAAGCTGCATATATTTTGCTTGTCATAGAACGAAAAACACCTAAAGATGTAGAACAGAAACTTTAGGACATACGCCCCATTGGATTTATAATATACACTGTTGGTTAGAGTCTTATTTCACATGAGCCCACTGTTATACCTCATTCTTTCGTCAGTTGGTTCTTGGTAAGGAGCCATTTGTACCTCACTGCAGTGTTTAGTAAATGTTAATCGCTAGGCCATGTCCTCCGTATGTCCTTTGACCGGCTTACTTGGTGTGCATGCTACACCGTGGTTGCACCGTTTCAGGCGAAAACTTGAGGAAGTCGGTCCATGACTTGACACAGAAGCATGAAGAAATTGACCGAGAGACTTGCTCAGGTTGCTTCGTGACGTATTCATGGATGGGTCCTCCGGACAGTCCACACCAATTGTTGAAGACCGTATCAGACATGACACAGTCATGCAGTTAATTGCGTTCCTGCATTCGGGTTCTTTCATCTGGTTGTTAGTTTTCTTCCCATTCTGTTTAGTCGAAGGCATTAACTTCCTGCTTCCATTTTCTTTACATTCTACTTGCATTCAAACCCGCGTACAGTAATTGTTTCTTGTTATTCTTGCAATGTGTGTCCTAGCAACTGGATCCACCGCATTTCGGTGCTCGGATCTTAGTAGTTCAAATGAACTGCACTGAATAACTCCTTGATGTGGTTAAAGTCAGCCTGCGAAAAGCATGTGACGTAGGGCCTACACGAAGTCTGATAAACCTAGGCGGCAATAGCACATGTTTTAGTAATCGCCTTCACGTACCACGGATGTTTGGAGAGGCGGAGTTTGTTCCACTTCGTCAATTGCTTCTACTTGATGGTACGCAAGTAAAGTAGGTCCAGTAAAAGTAATCGAAATTTTGCACAATCAAACCAAGGTAATTCGGTTACAAGTAGCATAATGGTCTTTTATTTTATGTAAGGTTTCAAGGACTCTACTTAGTGGGAATACGAATACAGATGCCACTCTGAACAGACACCATCTCGTGGATACGAGAAAATGAAGATTGGGCAAAGAGACTAATACCTAACAGGTTACAACGAAGGTTTGAAGTGAGAAGCACTTAGCGCCACAAGCCGACTAAATATCATCCAATTTGTATTTTCAATACTCATTATGTACTAAATACAATCCACAAAACTGACTTTATCATGAAATTCCCGTGGAAAGGATGAAATGCCCCTAACAAACTCTCATAGCGATAATTGAGCACACAGCTTAATTGCGCTTTGTCGTTACTCGATGATAACTAGTCATTTTCGCGATCTTGGCAGTTCCATAGATCACCAAATAGCCTTTCTTTTGTCGACACAGTTAGGGTAACCATCACGTGGTTTTAAAGAGTTTCCATTGCCAACACAATGAATTTACTTCAGTGCTAACTTAATTGGCTGCCCCGTCTGGCTGAAATTGTCTGGTGGCTTTTTAAGATTACACTTGTAAGCAAGTCTTAAGAAATGGTAGCAGCTATGGTTGTGGCTGTTGTGGTTAACTCGCAGAGTTACATATTCTCCGCTACATATGCATAGCACGTTTTGCTTAAATTACCTTGAGGTCAAACGTAATGTTGCTATTATTAACTACGCAGTATTGAGCTCCATTAGACTAAGTTGTTAGTCTTGGCTTCAAGAAATAAGCAAGAATTCAAGCCACTTAAGCACGCTCTACAAAAGACCACCGTATTGGTACTTGTAGTGCAGTGCCTTCTAGAGCTTTTAAAACTCCACTGATGTCACTGAACTGATGATGTAATACCACGAATCAAGGAGAACTTTCTATAATAAGCTGTCTACAAACAAATGCACCGCAGTTGGCCGAAGCCGCGTATGAATAATCCCGCAGTTTTCCTAATTATACTAAACTTGATTCCTGTTTGCACCGTTACTATTTCTGGTTGCTTATTTCTCAATATACCTTAAATACATTGAAGGCTAGTAAAGAATTCAAAGAACCCCCCAGTAAAAGCTTACTAATAAACATAAGAACTAGACGTGGCGGCAGTCCAGGACACTCTGGCTCTCCGCAGCTGCAATGAAACATGTAGAACAACCGACCACGAACTTCTATCCTCAATCACTATTACTGAACGGCGCTGCCCATACGCCTCAATAAAATATCCGTTTCCATAGTTTTGGAAACCAGGAAGAATACCGTGCTGGTACTGGCCACCCGGAGGCTTGAAATGTCCAGACAAGTTGAGTCGGAATCACTCTAGCTGGTTTTAGTTCACATTCAAATAATATTATGCACCCTGCAAGTTGGTGGTCTACGCTGGCTTTTGACGAGAGCTGTGCTGTCCAAATGTTGTTTGAGCAACTGTGGTTTCCACCACTTTTGACGGAACTAAACAATAGTTTGCCGTTTCCGCATGGCTGCGGCTTCCTTAGACACCGTTATAGCTATACACTGCGTTCAAGTAGTAAAACCTGGAAGTAATGTGACGGAGATTCAGTTATCTGCGTAACTACCAACTTCAGGGTTTTAGGAGTATGTTACCTACTCTTATTGGGTAGTAGTTGCGCAGCGAAAATAACTTTCCCGCAAAAATACGAGTCGTGATGAAAGGTTGGCGTCTGGCGTCTGCACAATGAGCGCAGAAGTGAAACACTACTCAGCAAACCGAACGCTGTTGAGGTACACCGCTGTTGTTAAGCATTCTTCGCTTCGTTGGTGATATGTTATTGCGACATGTATAGATGTGTAGAAAGCAGCAATATGGATTGTCTCGCCTTCGAAGACTGTAGTGCGGGTTACGCAAGACCCAAGATCGAAGGTACTCGGTGCTACCTGATAATTAACTCACACTTCAGTGATGTCATTTAGTCTCGGCCGCAGCTACATGCAGCATAAGGAAGGCTCAACGTAGAAAACAATTCTACCTCAGTCTTCGCTTGTCTCAGCCCCAGGTTCTTGCCAGTGTCTTTGCTCCGTAAAATTTCTGTGATAACGCTGCCTTCTATCTGATCTTTGCCACGCCAACCCAGCGGGGGACAAAACTGGACACCGAAACTTACCAGACCGAAGTATAGTAAGTACAGAACACCGTTCATTTTGTAGGTCACAATCTATTATATGTTGTAAGTTCCTGAACTGACCCAAGAAACCTACCCTGGACAGATGGCAGACCTCATTGCGATCCGCACTGGCCAGTTGTTGTTGCGCCCTGTCATGTTGCAACTTGTTTCATGCTGACGATCTGATTTCATAAGCTTCCCGCGTGATTTAACTGTGTTACCGTCGATCGGGTAGCAACCGGAATCCTGACGGTAGACGTCTCGAAACCGTGTCACGTTCTTATACTGCGGTTTCCGATTAAATTCGGATCAAAATATATGGTATTCCATATTTTTGTCCGGTTCCCGGCGAGACATTTCGGACTGCGTGCATTTACTAATGCTTAGCTTGGTTGTAGGATTACTCATAACTGCCGAGTCCAATGAGCACTCCTACCACCAACTGGAAAAGCTAGGTTGCCAATTGTTGCTTCTTTATCACAACGTTATCTTCTCTTGGCGCTATTGAAATTTATTTCACTAGCTGAAATCCGTGCAACTTCTGGTAGGGAACCATTAAGTTAACGAAAGTTGGAGACCTGCTACCCATTCACAGCTATATTTGCATATGACTTGGGCAGCACGGAAAGTAAGGTACACATATTCTGTTATCATCATCATTTTTCCCTCAGTAACCCTCTGCCGGTGTAACGAAGTACAAATGAGCGACGTTTCATTTCGGTCTCCGGTGGCTACCAAATAAATTTGCTCAAGGTTATTTTTCTCAGAGATAAAGCTGGTGGCATCCCGTGAGCCTTTTTGTATTGGTACAGCGATGTAAGGTATTTATGTATATTATACGTTATAAAAGACAATTATGTCAAGGTAGATATGTGGAGCAGATTTGATTAATGACAACTTACAATTCCGTAACTAGCCGCTCTCAACAAAACGAACGATGGAGCTTCGGCAATTAATTATTAGTAATAATCTCTGTCTGTATATCTTACACCTGTCATACACAAGCGCTATGCGGAAAGTCCTAGCTCGTAGGGCTAATTGCTGTCCATTGCTTAGTTCGTAACTGGCACGACAGTAGAAGATGAACCGGGCTATATTATAGACCACTTTCATTCATGTAGGTCTTTGGCCGTCCCCCGTGGCTTAGTGGCATTAGCTGCTGGCATCCGCAAGTCATGTGGTCGGAACCTGGCAGAGGTCCGATTGAAGGCACACCACTGCCGAGACCCAGAAGGTCGAAACAGAACGCGATGGTGTTTTTCCAGACTTTCCATAGCCTGCTGACTAAGAGTGGACCATGGTGCGTTATCTCTGAATTAATCCTTCGATTCAGGTGATACGAGTCAACAGGATCACCTGCTCTTCAGAAATAGATGAGCTATGAGTTGTGACGGAATGCACATAGAACGAGGTCTGAAGTCACGAGGTATAGGTACCTTTCTCAGTTTTCAGTTTAACATATCTACCTTGTAAACGTAAATGATGTACATTAACCAATGGCGTATTTTATTATTGATTCTACAGGATAAATGTTTCTATTGGTTGAACGGTTGGGACGGAGATCATAGGGTTTGATCCAGTTGGCCCATCGATGGTTGTAGACCTATAGCTCAATAAAAGATGCCTTAACTCTTAAGGGGATCCAGCCCCAAGATTCCAGATTTTTGAAAACGAATTAGTGAATGCAGGCAATTTTTCACATTAACACCACTGTGGGAATACGAAATCCAGCATATGCATTCAGTTCGCATGGAATCTTCAGTGCCGCAAAAGGCTAAATGGAAAATAAAGACAACGGTGGTGGACGCAACTTAGAAACAACCAAAAGTTAAGCGGAATCCTTGTCTCTACGCCCAGATTAACTGGAAGCTTATCGATAGCTGCTTTTGAACACGAACGCC